AAAAGAAGATTTAACAAAACAGGGGCATCATATCTGCAGAGGCGAGTTCTCAAATATTCCACAGCTAACCAAAGATTCAACTGGATTCGCTCCTTTCTTATGCTCAGGCAGTAAGCATAGCTCACGTTTTGGGGCTTTCACTTATTCCGATAAAGAAGTGAACTTGTATCAATTTAACACTTTGGAGACCGCGCGTGTTTTACGTTCCGCGGCCGCGCGGGACTTCGGTGAAATTTTTAGGGATCTTATCTAGCAAATTCAAAAGAAGAACCCACTGTATAATGCAGAAGAAATCTTATCGGATAAAATGGAAAAGAAAATGAATGAAAAACCTAATAATTGTTTACGAAATGCGAGCTGAAAGGTCCTATGCGGTCGGAGGACTGCAGCCCACATATGGGCTGCGTGGGCTCCAAGGTGTTAAAAAGACCGTCTAATGCCCGGATACAATCAGTTTTAAGCGAATAGCTAAACTCTCTAATTTTGCTAGACCCTCAAATTGAACACCGCACTACCATTTCAGAACCATGAACTATCATATTTCAGCTTCCGGTGAATGAAGACTGTGAAAGGCTTCTCTCTTTTGGAACACTGACTTTAAAAGAGTTAGCCATCAATGGTGAAACTGGCAGTAAATGTAGACGGTGAGCCTTAGGCAAACCTCTACCGATTGAGAAATATTGATCAGGGTAAAACCTGAAGGATATGGCTTTAACGTAGTCCTTTCATGGTACTACGAGTCCTTTCATTCCTTACACACTCACCCATAACGTGAAAGAGCTTTCCAGTTATGTACGAACTGTTAGTGGCCATCACTACTCATTCGTGCGAGGTTCTGGTGTATGTTTATACGCGTTTTTGCAAGGAATGAGCTAGTCAAGAAGATTAATGTTGTATGCTGAATGCCTTTGGATGCAATCCCGCTCCTTCCGGATCCCCGTTTCAAAGCGTCTTGTTCTCTTAAGCCTTTAAAATTGTCCATTTTATGTCCATTTTTAAATCGGTCACGGCAATTTTCCGCATGGAGCTATTCCTTATTGGGTTCAGTTGTTCGTGATGTCCAAATAGCCTGTCACTTGTATGATTAAACGCCGATTCGGAAGAGAATATTGTGCATCAGAAAAACAAGTGGGGTCCATTGCAACAATAAGGGAGGTGGGGTGGGCATGCGGTGCAGTTGTACGTGCAGCCTAGAGTAATCCTAATTTTTGCACTGGAGAAAGCTCTAAAATGCGCGTGCTGTTTCCTTCTCGTCTCAGCCCAACCTGGAGCATCGTGCTCGTCGAAATGTAGTAGACGGCACCGCTTATTGCACCACAATACTCTTCGGTCGTCCCTTATTAGGATGGATCCAATAATTCTGTTCACTTATTTATTTATTCATTATTCTTTGTTTCAGTACTTTGCGCGGATGTACAAATCTAGGAGTCTCAGTTGGGTCTGTGTAGGTACGTTTTTACTAAATTTGGGCTCACTTTAGCATTTCTTGTTTTTGTAGCAATTGCGACAAGAATTTGTCAGAGTCCGTGATCCGTCGCGCGAGTCGCGCGACGGAATCTGAGAAATCACAAGTGCCCCGATCAATACTGCGAGGTGCTCTCCAATCCCCGCCATTTCTGCTTGATGGTGATGGTTGAATGACGACTGTTCATGATTCTACTGTTTCATATTCAGTGTTTCAAATGTTCAAATGGGCACTTGCGGTTTTTGCAATTCGCGCCAATCGCGCGAATCGTGCGGCGGATCGCAAGCTCTGACACCAGTCAGCCTAAGGCTGAAATAACTAGCTTCATTTGCCCTGCATTTTTAAGGGATGGCCATATACCGAAACGTTTCTTTTGTTTTGTATTGGAGATTCCGTTTGACATTAATACCCATGTCAACAATAGATACAAAATTTATTTTTTGATTTAATTTCATCCATATTGTATTTAACTGGAGCCGTCCACACAGTCCATTTAAATGGCGTTGTTGAGATTTCAATTTTCAGCGCGATGACTGATTTGTGCGAACAGCCGCTTGGGCTACTATGCGAGGTGGTTCGACGCGAATTGGTTCACCTACTCGAATCACTGCCAGGAATAAAGGACTTAGTCGTCGACGCCACTTTGCTGCGTCCGCTTGATCGTATCGCATCGATGAGTCTACTGCAGAAGCATGGCTGTCAGCGAGTTATTCCGCTTCGGCTCAACTCACCCTCCGCCATCCCGTGGCATCCCAATGTGACGCGTCGTGTGTATTTACTTCGTAGTTCTTTGGACATTGCTCGATTGCTGGCTGAGCATGTACGCGCGTCCCCTGATAAGCAAATCGCCGCCATCTGGGTGGATCGACGTTTGGTCGTTTGTGAACGTGAACTTGAACGACAAGGTGTTTACGGTCAGATCGAGTCATTTGAGCTGAGTATCTCTTTCATCTCTCTGGAAAATGATCTTTTCTCTATGGAAATGCCTATTACCACGGCCCACAAGGACTTGCTAGCATCGGCTAATGCGCTATTTCAACTCCAATCTCTCTACGGTCTCATACCGACGGTCTACGCGTTCGGGAGATGCAAGACAGAGAGCTGTGAAACTGAATAAGACACGTATACACTGAAAGAGGTAACGCGCGATCATCACCAGATCAACCAATCAGTCATCTGTTCATGTTTGATAGATCGCTGGATCAGGCGACAGTTCTCATGACTGGTCTTACCTACGAGGCGATGCTCCACGAGGTGTTCACAATCGGGTGCGGTAAGATATCGTTCGGGCCGGAGGTGGAGGAGAAAATGCGGCCCTGAGATCGAGCAAGGCGAGGCGGTGAAGAAATCGAAGGTGTACGTGCTTGACAACAATGATGGAGTGTTTTCATCATACGAAATAAGCACATGACAGGAGTTTTTCCTTTACCTGGCAGTTCAAAAGCAAGGAATCCAGTCAGACTTCAACAACAGGCGCCTCTATAATCAATGCGAGATATTGAAAGGCAATTGTCGCGCATAAATGAATCGCTAACTTCAACATCGTTAGGGAAATGTTTCTTTCTTTTCCCACCATTTGGTGCTTGTGAATGTTACTGAGAAAACGGAGCTGCAGGAGCCAGTGATCGTTTGAAGTTCGAGCACGAACTGGTTGCGGGCACGGCCAATATCGCCGATGTGATCTCATACCTCGAAGACTGCATGTTGCGCGAGCTATCGTCCTGGCAGGTGCTGTCTCTTGCCTGCCTGGCTTCTCTAGCTCAGAATGGCCTCTCCGCCAAACACTTCCAATCCTTCCGTGAACACTTTCTCAGAACGTACGGCTACGAGTACCTCCCGATACTGCACAGCCTTACTTCAAAACGCCTCCTCATCGAGAAAACCTCGACCGATTGTTGGTGGTGCAGGACCACCCGCGCCTCCCTCTCCGTCACCCAGTGACTCCCTACCAACGCTGCCATTCCTAATCAAGAGACTAAATCTTGTCCCCACGTCGGAGGATGCGACAGTGGATCTGCGCAACCCATCCTCAATGAACTACGTATTTTCTGGTGCATTTACGCCACCATTTTGTCAAGTCGTCGCTAACGCAATGGTTCATGGTTGGAATACAAACGAGCTGAAGAAGACATTTGGGCGAGTCCTTGTTGAGGAGAACAGCTACATCCCAGCTGATCGTCGCCCAGATAACCGTATGAGAAAAGCAATCCTAGTTTTCTTCCTAGGGGGTGTCACTTATGCAGAAGTAGCTGCGCTACGGCTGCTAGCA